GGCTGATAAAATGATTCTCTCTTCAAGATCAATGTGTTTTGTATGATGATGGTGATGATCCACAGTGCTTATTTCTTTCTGTTGGATTTCTTTGCTTTGAAGATTCTGCGGCCTGACTTATCGCCACCTCCAGTGCTACCCAGTGAAAAGCTTCCTCCTTGGAACTCTAGACTAGGGGATGCCTGGAAAGGTGATGCGTTCTGCGGTGTGCTTGCCATCGGTTGGCCTCCAAACTGCTGGAACGGGTTAGCCATTGATGGAGGCGGCGTTGCTGATGGTCCGCCAAAGCCAAAGTTTGGTTGAGGCATTGAGACAGACGGTTGTCCAAACTGGAACGGATTAGCCATTGATGCTTTATTAGCTTGGTCTGTGTCTTCTGCCATACTGTCTTCCATGCTCATTTGTTGGTTATTGTTGAACCCATTTGTATTATTAGTTGGTGGAGCAGTTGCACCAAACGCAAACCCGGGAGTTGAGTTGCCAAATGGAGGTCCTGTGGGGGCGGTTGCTGCAAATACTGGCAGCAGAGAAGTGGTGGGAGCAGCTGAGCTGAAACCAAAGATAAGTGAAGATGTGGGAGCAGAAGCGCTTGAACCCGTAGCAGCAGACGATCCTCCAAAGTTAAAGGTAGGAGATGAAGTGGTGAACGGGGAACTGAAGACTGGAGCAGAGCTGGGAGCTTGCCAGGTTTTCCCAAATATGGAAGAGCTCGTTGTACCACTAGAGCTTGCAGAGGAGTTTGTAGAACTCAGTTGAGGGGTTGAGCTAGAAGAAAATACTGGAGGGTCTGACTTTGATGATCCAAATGGATAACTGTTTGACGCAAAAGAAGTGTTCCCAGACATATTAAATGAAGGAGCTGATACAGATGATGAAAACTGAAAGGGGACGCTTTGGGTTGAGGTTGTGGTTCCGCTCCCAGTACTACCCATCTGAGTATTTGCAGTACCAAAAAGATTTGAGGCCTGAGATTGAGAGCTAGCAGCAGATGCTGATGAAACTGCATTGAATCCAAAACCACTGCTTCCAGTACCAAATATATCACTCCCAGAAAATTTGCTGGTCTCTGTCCCAGGGGTTGATGAAGATGTCACACCAACTGATAAGCTCCCAGGTGCAGAAGATGCAGCAGTAGAAGAGTTTAATGTGCTGCCACCAACCACAGAGGATGTCACACCAAAGACATTATTACCTGCGTCTGCCACAGCAGGAGCTGAGGTCTCAAACACAAACCTTGGCGTGCTTTGAATTTCTGAGGATTTAGCAGCAATTACATCGCCAGTGCTCGTATCTGCAGAAGTCATACCACCAAACTTGCAAGTGTTTAAATTTCCAAAGGTTGAGTTTTTTACTTCAGCCTCCTTTGAGATCTGACTGGTAGATGCAGATACTGATGACGCAGGGAATTGAGCTGCAGGTTCCCCAAACTTAACAGGCAACTTTTCAAATACACTAGAGGCAGTTGGAGTTGCAGCAAGAGATTGCACAGTGCACAGCACCTCACTCACAGATTTATCGGAAGGTATATTTGAAATACTAGGTGGGAAGGAAGGGCTTGAACCAAGAAAGCCATTACCCAGATGTGGACTGACGGCATTTGCTCCAGCTGAGAATGTACTACCATCTATGGTTGACTCAGCTTCAGCAGCACTGTTGCTAACCACTTTATTTGATTCAGTCGGCTTTGATGAAACGTCTGATACTCCAAAAGCAGAGCTGCAACAGCAAGAAAGAGAGTCAGAACTCAGAAGCTAGTAAACAAGATCAAAACTTTCATAACCAATATAGATGAGGCTCACTGGTGGATTGACACAAGTAATGAACTTAATGTCTATCAAGCTGAGAGGGAAAATGATTATGCCACCAACCTGCTTGTCTTTTCTAGCTTGATGTCTGCAGATGCACCAGTGTTTTGAGATAAGTCAGTGGCCGCCGGTGACGTGAAGATGGTGGGAAATGCAGGAGCAGCTTTTTTAGGCTCTTCCAGAGAGATCACCTTCTCTTCTGAGCTTAGCTTGCCAGGAGAAATACTTGATTTCTCCGTCCCTTGGATGCTTTGTGAAGTTGGCTCAGATGCCATATCACTTTGCTGAACAGCTTCAATGGGCGAAGCAGCAAATTTGCTCCTTCCAGTTTCCACAGATCCATTAGAAGTACCCTGAGAGGCATCACCATTAGAAATATATGACGTAGAGGGTATGGCCACGGACGAAGGAAGTGGTTTCTCTCCTTTAGGCATGCTGATACCAAGACCTTTCTCCACTTTGGAGGCATTCTGTTTTTCTGCCACTTCAAATGAAGTAGATGCCGCACCATGATCATCATCCAACTCCAAGAGATCCTGCATTATTTAGCCCACAGGTGTATATATGGTCAACGGTTTGCTATAAAATTAATGCCAAAGGAAATTAATACCCACACATGATAATGAATAAAGGAAAAAAGCATAATTTTTTTCCTCAAGAAGACCAAAAGAGTAATTGGAAACATAAACTAGCAAAATCATATTTATAGTTAGACGTGTTAACATTTGCATTTCTAGGATTGCTTGTTTTGATACTTCTATTTGCAGCTTGTTAACATTCTGGAGATATAAATAAATATAAGAAATTAACTGTATACCTCATGCGCACTCATCCGGAAAGCTCTCTTTTTTGGAGGATGCTCTTCCAAAGAACTCGTGAGAGGCACATAAGCGCCTTTACCACGAGTCTCCTGATCTTTACTCGAACCTGCTTTGCTTGTGCCATCAACAGCCCCAGTCTTCTCACTCATAGCCAAAGTTTCTCTAGAGCCACTCGCTCTAGATTTTTCCTGTTTTTGATAACTAGAACCTGGCGAAATTGCCTTCTTCTCAGGAAGGTTATCCAAGAACTTTGGCGCCTCCACATTCTGGAGACTTTTAAGAGCTGGGCCACGTAGCATGGATGCTGATAATTTACTAGGTGATTTCTCCCTCGTTGAAACCAGATTATCAAGTTGCTGGAATATTTTTGAAGCCATCTCACTGGACTTGGAAGGGACAAGGTCGAAACTTGAACCAGGAATATCCTCTGCACTATCTTTAGATGTATGTGTAGTTTTCTGTCCACCACTAGCACGGACAGAAAGTGGGCTTTCAGAAGCAGGCAGAGCCAAGCTTCTAGACGAAAGGTTAGACTTCTGGCGAATCCTTCTTACAGGTCCCACAGATCCTATATCATTATCTAACACTGAGCTCCTCCGTTTGATACCCTACAAAATAAAATAAAAGTCATGTCAATACATTGTTTCAGGAACCAATCTGAAATCTGACGGGCATAGTCAAAAAGTTCACCGATTGAAACCCTTGTCTAGAACCAGAAGATAATCTTTCTTCCCATGTGCTTGGAGATGCCTGAAAAAGAGACCCAATCTGGAAAGAAAAAAAAAACACTAAAAAATGGGAAACAAGTTGCAAATTCTACAATAAAGTAATTTTGTCTCAAATTCGATACCTTCACAGCGGAGTGAGGCCTCGAGTACGGTGTTCTGGCCATGCTATAGATAGCAGATCTTCCCCTAGATCTAGGAGTGACAAAACCATTTTCCAGAGTTCTTTGTCCAGAAGGCTTTGGTACAAGTGACATTGTAGGTGACTTTGACGGAAAAGGGGTTCTGTTCAGGAAAACAGAATCTTCCCTAACCCCTTGACCACGCAACCCCAGCATAGAAGGAGTAACTTCTGAAGGCCTGCTACCCATGTAGGCTTTTGCAAGCTGTGCTGGCGAAGCAATGCACTCATCGAGAGCCTGGTAAGGATGTCATCAAAAATCAAGAGATTAAGAAAGCCGTTTTGCATGGAGATCGGTATAAAGCAGACTAGTATATCACATATGTCAAAAAAAGTTCTTACCCTCGAACTTTTAAGAGGTGTTGAAACAAGGGCGTTCATACTTCCATTATCTGGATGCGCCTTATCTCTCTCTTGTGATGGTGGATGTCTTAAAATACTCACTTCATTTCTCTGCTCCCTGTTTACAGTGGATGAATCAGCAGCTTTTGAACGCAGCAAGGTAGTTAATCGATCAACTTCAGACCTGTATAATCATCAAAAGTGATTAATGGATTTCAAAAGGCGAAGATGTTACAAATGTTAAAACGAACACACCAAAAAGAATAAGAGGGAAAAACAGAAACATATATTCAGTTCTTCTGCATTATGAATCTTAAATGCATCAAAAGATAAAAGAAACTTTTATAACCATGAGGGAAAAATTGGTACTCTACTGAATTATATGTACAATGTAAAACCTGTAAGATGGTGTACCTTGTAAAAGTCTTCTCTTTTAAAATTTTCTCAAGATCTACAAACCCATCCTTGGTTGGATTGACAGATGATTTGGTATCTTCCATCCGAATCAAATCATTCTTCATGGACAACTTCACATAGACCACATCAGTAGATAAATCATAAGTTACACAACAGTAGATGAAAGCACAAGGAAATCCAAAGGATGGAGAGGATTTTAAATAAGGCAACTCATTTACTTACAGCAGAGGTGTTCTCCACGCGTCCTACATTCGTCTCTGGAATCACATCTGAACCATGAAAACGGAAACGATACATTTAGAAACGTCCACTTAGAAAGGCGAAAATGAGTCTCATTCTGGTAAATAACACCTCGAGCAAGAATTTACTAAAGAATCATTTCAGACGGCAGACGAAAAGAACGTTGTTACATAGCAGACTAATTCAATATTGTAAAACCTGGATAGGAACTTAAAGATAAAATCTTGCTAGATACTTACTACTTAGAGAACATTCCAACAACGTCCAAGTACAAACGACAAATGCTAAACCTAAAAATCTACAATTCGTAAGTAAACACTTCTCTAATGCCATCAGAGACTGCAAAAGGGACCAAAGAAATCACTTTTGAATCGAGAAAAAAGCAAGAAACCCTTTACCTCTTTCAGGAAGCTGCCTTTGCTCCGGCGACTGTAAACGCATCTCACCTGAGAGACGGAGATTCTCGAAAAGCGACCCGAATAGCCTATTAGCGCTATAAGTAACAAGCCTCTGCGCCGGATCCAACACTTTCGACAACCAGCCGCCGCCACCTCGGTCTTCTCCGCCTCCAAGTACAGAGTTCCTCACAGAAGTCGGTGGTCGATCATACGGAGTTTTCTGAGACCTTCGAGCCGTCGGCTTCCGGAACTTCCCGCCGGTTCCCAATCCGCCGCCGTATGGATTGCTGCTCTCTCCCCGTGCCGCACTCGCCATTACCGAAACGAAGAACGAGAACGAATCTAGGGTTTCAGAGAACCTTTCCCCGTAAGGAAAATCCAAAAAACTAATTGAGAAAAGAAGGAATTGCAAATTTGGGGGAATTAGGGTTCTTTTTCTAATTTGTGGCACCTAAATCGATACGCAAGAGCAAACCAGAAAACCAAAAAAAACTTTAGGGTACG